TAAATTATGAGGGGTTATATGTCTCTGTTTTGACTGGGTAGCTGGGCAGGTTAATGGCACCGTAAATATAGGTCACAAAACCAGCTCCCGTGTTCAAATGGCGATGGGAGACATAAATCGATCACTATCGATTTTCGCGACGTTGCCACATCTAAAAAGGAAAATTCCGTAGAAATGAAAATGTATTTATTGAAAATTGAGCCTTATACTCACCTGGATTAGTCTGAAAGGGGTTACATAACATGATTTCATGAACCCTTGTTTCTCTCCCATGGACTGTGACCTATATCATTGGTGATATCTATGGTGTCGAACTCGATAGTTGAAGAGTTGGGTTTTGGTCGTGTCCGAAGAACCAATGACCGTTGACAGAAGTCCGATCGGGAAATTTCGGAGACAGGAGGATGACTTCTCTAGATTTGTAGTGGAGAGTGTGATGGTGGAATTCGTGTCACAAAATCTTTGATATTTTATATCATCCGTAACCGGGATTATTTTTGTTGATCACATTTGGTAATTTTGGGGTCAGGCGATTGTTATTTGGTAGATATTTTGTAGCGCTGACCCAAAATTAAACTCGATTTGAGGATTTTAAATTCTACCCACCTCCATCATATTCGTGAAGTGATCGAAGCGAGTGCTCCTGAGATTGATGATTAGGTATGTGGATTTCTGTGTTTTCTCGATGTGTGAATTCTATCTGTTGTGAATCTGGATCGTGCAGTATTTTCTCAAGTAACACTATTTTTTTTTACTTGTAGCAGGAACACAGTCCATGTCGTATCATATCCTTATTGACAGGTGCGTTAAGGCCCATAATCCATTATCAGACTCGTTCGTTCATACGTTGGCGCACTGTCAAATATTGTGTATAAGGAAACAAAAAAAACCCTCTGGGCCGGGTAAGCTTATCTTTCTTTCTATATTACTTCATATATTTTTATAAATTAAATTATAGTACTTCTTGATCTGTTATTAGACTCTGTAGATTATTGCCATTTACTTGTAATGAGCAGAGACTGATTTTCATGATACAGTTGTATTGTAATTTTAGCATCCACTATAATAGTTGTATGTGCTAATATAATGGCACAGTGAAATTTCATAAAATTTAGGCATTATACCCAAGGGCCTATTTACTTCATTAAATTCACAAAAACATGATTTCTACAGGGGCTGTTGTTAAACATTCCTTCCTTCTAGTTGTGGGTACAACTTGAGGAGTTAATTTTTCTTTTTTTTTTGTGTTATTCGACTGATTTTGGAATGGCCCATATTACTGATTTGAGAACATTTTTATTTTTTTTTATGCATTTTCCTGGTATTCTGGGGAAATGATATGGTTTAAGTCTGGGAGAAATAGTAATTGAAATCATTTCTTCCCAGGGTTTTAATTTTCTTGGATTGAAGAATTATTTGATGAGTTGGAGTGTACCAAATCCACTTACCTGCGCAGCACCTTACAGGGTGGTCATCGCATCATCTAGAATATCTTCAGATTCATTCATCTGTGAGGTGGCTATACAGGGTGGTCGCCGCATTGTAAGACTTCTTCCCAATCCATTCACATAGGAGGCACTTATACCGGGTGGACACTTTGTACTGAGTCTTCTTCGACGACAGAAGCTCACGAAGATGGCACAACCCATCTACCAGAAATACGGGGTGGCCCAGTACACGTAAATAAGCCAGAAGGATACGCAAGTTTTTATCTTTTGCTTTTGATCTTTGCTACTATTTGCTTATTTATTGGTTGCATATGCTTATGTATTTGCTTAGGGAATGGGTCATGCTTGCTTATCCCTGCTATTGTAAAACCGAGTGAAAGTATTCACTGTTATTTGCGCATGTCGCTATTTTTTTTTTTTGCATATTTGATTGTCTGTATTTGCCGTTAGTTGCCATTTGGTTAGTGACAATTGCTGACACATTTTGCTTCCCGATTAGTTAGGGTTGCTGAAATTTACTACGTTATTTAGTTACAAATACGGTTATATTTTGTTCGCCTTATTACTTCGGGTTGGTTGTTATTTATTAGCATCACTTGAGGGGTTATGTAAGCGGAGTTTGTTGCATGCGCGCATTTTACTTACTATCACGCCCTCGCCTGAGCTCACGCGTTGCGCTATCACACTAGCGCCTAACTTGGTATATCAAACGCCCTTATGTCCCACGCTTGCCTACCCACCTCGAGCGCTTCATCCATGTATCTGGTATATTTTTAGTGCTGAACATACGTTATTCGCTTCATAATTTCGGTTGCTCGACACTGCTTAAGAGTGTTTGGTTTAGGCGGTAAATTTAAAAGTAGGATACTTATTAGCTTGCCGTTATATCGGGTATTGTGACTTAATGGTTCAACATTATTGTTGTAGAATATTTGTTAGAATTACTTTATCTTGGGCTTGTATTATCTATAGTATAGTTACTCGAATTATAATGGCATCCAAGGGTGACACGTCTTTTATTTTATTTGAACACCTTGACATGGTTTTGCCTCAATCTCGCTTTTGGTAAATTTGGAGATTGAGTTCGTTCTGTTTAGGGTATTCGCGCGGGGTAAATTTCCTGGCGCCCAATTTATTAATTCACTTTATAGATGATATCACAAAAAAAAATATCACGAACCACCCCACCTTCGGCTGTAGCTGGCGCGGATGCCCACTATTAATGGTGGTTAGCGATCTTAGGCATTAGTGCCGTTTAGGAAGGTCGCAAATTGATCAAGAAATTGTACTCAGGTAGATAAAAATGTCGGTAGAGTCATTGAATCCTTAGGCAATTTACACATACATAGATACTAATTTGAACGCTACCAATGAAAAATTAAACATTCTTCGAACCAAATAGTCTGAACTAGTACGACATTGATTAGAGCTGAAGCAATCTTTCAAGTTATACAGTGTGACCCACTTCTAATGGAACCACCCCTGTATCTTACGTAATCGTTGGGTAAGGATCCTGAAATTTGCTGGAGCGAGAGATATACCAGAAATGCACTCTATGACCAAGTGGGGTCATCTTCAGTGATATACACTGCTCGCCAACAGCCATGAAACCACCCCAATGTCCTTAAAATGATATTAGGAGTTAGAATAGGTTGAAAACCACTTCAGATTCGGAATCAGGACGCCCAATCCTCTAACTAATCATAGTTTCCCTAGGAAATTTTCAATTCAGAAAAATTAAATTTTGTCTCACTTCTCATGGAAGCACCCCCGTATCTCACGTAATTATTGAGATAGGGTTCTGAAATTTGCAGAAGGAAAGTCCAAAGATAAAGTCAATTACGTGAGATACGGATGTGCTTCCATAAAAAATGACACAAGATTTTATTTTTCCGAACTGAAAATTTTCCAGAAAAAATTTGAATAGTTAGAAAATTGGGCGTCCTGATCCCAAATCTGGAGTGATTTTTGACCTATTTTGACTCCTAATATCATTTTCCGGAAATTGGGGTAGTTTCATTACTGTTGGCGAGCAGTGTATATCACTCAAGATGACCCCACTTGGTTATAGAGTGCATTTCTGGTATACCTCTCGTTCCAGCAAATTTCAGGATCCTAACCAAACGATTACGTAAGATACAGGGGTGGTTCTATTAGAAGTGGGTCACACTGTATATATGATAAATATTTGAAGTGATGTGATTATCATCAATCCAAGAGATTTCACAACATAAATCATATATATGATCTGTCAATGTCATTTGTGATCGTAGGATTGTGTGGATTGGAGCAATTCAAATAACCATGAATTTTGCGATATGAAAACATTGTTTGACCATTCAAAACGATTTCAGCAATGGCGGTTCAATTGATACGATATGATTTATTATGTAGATCAGCTCAATAATTGATGAATGTTAAATGGTATCATCTGCAATATTAATATGGTTTGAATATTTCGAAACATTATATTGATACTGTATTTTCAATATTCACTCGCGATATATATCAGTATACTTCATGATTTCATGCAGGCCCGGGGTTCAAACTTCTATATCAAATTCACTGTCACCTGAATTATCACTCGTTTTATCGTGATCATTCAGAATTTCATCAGAAATTTTGATACAGGGTTCATTGTCAATGTCACTATTTTAGTAATATGATGAACAATGTTAAATATACACGGTGAGTGGCAAATAGAATAGCTCACATCTCACCGTAGGTGTATATAAATAGTGATTTGTTTTACTAGGCAGAAAAGTAGTAGATTGACTGCCGCGGCTGATAGTTCATAGGAATTCATTCAAGGTAGTCAATCTACATTTGCGGCCGTGTGAATCATAGAATATTTTCTCCAAATGATATAAAACTAATTTTGTGTAATTTTTGTATTGAAAACTCCATCATTTTGTGTTCATCCAATGTCAGTGTCAATTTTGATGACTAATTTCATCAGAATTTCTTGGAAGCTCATCATATATGCTTTTTGAATAATATAGGTACTATTATACTGAAACGGATATCGTTTCGTTAATACTGACTGTCACCAATTCAGTTATATCGGAAATCGCCCATAATTTTCAGAACTTATGTTTCAAATTTGAGAATGTTGACAATTCGAAAGAGTCAGTGGTGACAAGACACACTTACCTTCATATACCGCCCTACTACCTATAGGATGCTCACAATCAGATAATTTTTTTTCCTCCTATATATCATGTGTAGGCATTGTTACTGACACCATATGGCACATTATAAATAACAGTGAATTTTTCGACACCTTCTTCAGCCGAAGATACAGAACTTTGGAATTGATAACTCGCCATTTGAATCGAAAAATTATCTGCTTTATACTTCTGCATGTATGCATTTTGATAAGTGAGTCGGGCGGTTCTGAATGATGTATATTTTCTCAATATCATCTAGTTCATACAGAGGTCGAATTAATTTTTCACTTTCAATTTCTGATTCAATTGTTTCATTACAGATTATTTTCGCTGTAGAATTATAAGTTACTAAAAGTAATTGTGCATTTACATTGAGCATAATATGGATCGTAAGACTCCCTACTTCGAAGATATGGAGAAACAATTGGAACTCGCCCTGAAAAAACGAGAAAAGTCAAAACAGGATCTAGAGGAATACATCGAGGAAATCAAGATATGGTTGAAAAGCCAACCTCATCTACCAGAAATGCCAGGTGAGTGATTTTATCAATTGTTTATGCTATTGAGTATTATAGTCCATCGACTGAATGAATATGGAAAAACATCTGATTTCTGACTTAACCAGAAGTATGTTATTTTTTCTATCAAGATTTTTATTGTAATTTTCCTAACAAGTGCGGAAAGTAGTACTTTTTAGCATAAGTTATGTACGAAATTTCCCTACGAGTGTTTTTGTACATATTATTCATGACTATTCCACTATTGATCTCGAGAAGCAATCAGAATAGACCATTTTCACGGTTTCTTCTGTATTATAGCGATATTTTTTGTTTACTTATTTTTATCGGACTTGTTCTACCAATACAGAAGCCGAATTGACCCACACGTGACCAACAAACCTCGTTTATCAGCGATAAAATTTTGACATCGTGTCTGGTCAAGATTGCTTTGGATTCAAATCTGAGACATCAACCTAAGTTCCTACTTTATTTTATTTACTTATAATTTGCGTTTGTGAGACATTTTGTACGAAAGGCGATACAATTTTATTCTGGCTGGACGTTTCATGTGTAATTTAAAAAGTTTGCATATTTGTTGACGGTCTCTGACACAACAATACTAGAATTCAAATTCCTTTTCGAAGTGATCTTCTTCAATCAGTCAAGTTATTGTGACTGATAAATTACCAGATGATGTGGCGCAACTGATAGGTTTGTTGCGCGAGGATACGACGGTCGGTGGTTCGAGTCCCTCGGCAACGATATCTTTTTCAATTATTTCATGTCACATGAATTCAATTTTTTTTTTAATTGGATAGCAATTGTATACACTCTTTTGAGAGCAACCATCTCCAATAAGATAATAAAAAAAATACTGTTTGTTAAAGTTGTACATTCCACTTTGTGAATAACTATAAGTAGGTAGTTAATTTCTAAAAAATTGAATTCTGTATTTCATCACTATCATTATGTTCTTCTCCGCAGTTTGAGTTGGAATATACCGAAATTGTGTTTCCTATTTCTTATATATATTGTCTCATTCAATCATGAAATAGTCATATACGAATACAACTCGTGATACTATTTTTCCTGGAAATATTCATCGATTGACATACTCCAGCTTGCTGCTCTAATTTCTGTCATGACATTGATCCAAAACTACTCGCCTACGGCTCGTAGTTTTGATAACAATGTCATTCACGAAATTACTAAGCAACAAGCTGTCGTAACAATCACCGAATATTTCCGGCAAACTATTACCACTTGTGGTATTATATATAAAAAAAAGATTTTTTGATAATAGTATATTACATAACTTGTGTGGAAAGTGACATATTTCGCGCGAGTGGGCGTTTAGCACGAGCCGCAGAGCGGCGAGTGCGGAAACGAGACGAGCGCAGGAAATGCACTTTCCAACGAGTTTTGTACACTATTTTCCCTACGACCACAAATATTCATATTATATATCATGATGATTGTTCATAAGACCAGAGTAGGGATCATGTTTCTAATCATATTCGATCACATGAAGGTGATATCATCATCATTATTATTTAATTCCACTTCGATATTCAAATGACATCATTAGTCTTACGTTTACTTAACATTGACTCAATATGAACTCAACATTAACTCAACATCAACTCAACATAAATTCAACAGTTTCTTGACATTAACTCAACATCAACTCAACATCAACTCAACATCAACTCAACATCAACTCAACATCAACTCAAAATTAACCTAACATTGACTTAACATCAACTCAACATTAACTCAATAAGTATTCAACATTAACTCAACATTAAATCAACATTTACTCAACATTAAATCAGCATCAACTCAACATTAACTTGAAATTACCTTGAAATCAAATTAACATCAACTAAATATCAAATTGACATCAACTTCACAAATCACTGAATTGCCAATACAATGACATTAATTCAACTTTCAATTGAAATTAGACTTCAACTTTTCATCAACTTAACATTACGTCAACATTGACGACAATAACTCATTTTAAATCGGCACTAACTTTCCATTAACTTGACCATAACTTAACTTACCATAATTCAGCATAATAATTATTCATTGGTAAGTACATCATAATCTATAGACCCTTTCGAATATTTCCACCCATGTGAGTTCTGCTTTCGAACTTTCTAACTGTTATATGTTGTCATAGTGAAACGAGTCACTTTCTTAATAACAAATCAATGTGTTTCGTGCTGTTTTATAGGTGGTCGTAGAAAAACAATAATATATAATGATGCTACAAAATGACACATTAGACAGAATAGTTACATGGATCATTCAGTTATTCCTAGATATCCCCATTTTCAACAATACAAACATCGTGCAGAAAAGTAACTTTTCAGCACTAGTGCGGTAAGGTAACTTTTCCGCACGATATTTTCATGCACTGAAAAATAATGGAAGAGATTTGATTTCATCGATATAATAAGAAACTTATTGGAAGAACCTTCAAATAACAATAACCAGAACATTAACGGTGGTAAATATTGAATTTGTATTTGTTGCATGCTGTATATAGCAGATGCCGCAATATCTTGAAAAACTCCGTTTCTTATTTGAATTTGATCAGTTATAGTGTTTGCATCAATTATTTCCTTGGGAGATCTTGAAAGTTTCCTGAGTGGCCCAATTGGAGTTACGTACACGGAAAAATTACGCTTGAAATAAATTAAATGCTTATTTGTTGACTGCCACCTCTGTCAGTTTATAACGACACACCATATGTCTCCTGGTATTTCCTCCAAAATCGTGCAGAAAAATAATTATGAGGGAAAGTGAAATCGTACGGAAATGTACAACTTTCTAAACGAGAAAACATGCGGAAAAGTTACTTTGCCGCACTTTAATAGGAACAACTATTTCCTATTCTACACGATGGTCAACAAGTAATGATTCTAATTTAGCAGTTTTTTCATCGGATCACCCAGTATTATATTGCTATCATAGATTTTTCCTGAAGAACTGATTTTATTAATTCATCTTACTTGAGATCTAGAGTTCCTGAAGGTACTTGACACTGCTGTTTTGGCGTTTTTTGTATTTTCGCGATAGAAAATAAGCGTACACCACCTACCGGAGTTCGCGAAAGCTGTCGAAGCGGCCTGTTCACTTTGTTTTCATTGGTTCACATTTGTTTTTTGTTTGTGCTTATTGGTCATATCATCAGAACAAACCGCTCAGAAGTGTTTAAATTGCTGCCGTCAGGTGGTGCGACGTGTTATTTTCTATCGAGAATTAGAGTACGGAAACTATGACAAGATAGATAGATAGATAGATAGATTTATTCCACTACGTTACATATGTATGAGATATATATGTAGCATGTCAGGTTTACAAGAGATAAAAGGTTCATGTACAGTGTGTCCAGTTTTCGATGCTTTTGCCTGATATCTCAGTTATCTTTGGAGATAGAACCATGCGGTTTTCGCGGTCCTGTGCCACTTTTTTGTGTAACTCAAGATGGCCTAATCAGATTTTGCAAGACTGTTTCCGTTTATGAGATACAGGGCGATATTGAAAATTTATACTATTTGGACCCCCTCCATATCCACGAAGTTTCTCAACAAAAATGTCAAATCAAAATCTTATCGCATAGAGAATCTCACGCATAATCCAGTGGCGCACTTATTTTTTTTTTCGGGGTATGGTTTTGGAGATACGACTCAAACTTATGATTTTTTAAATGGAACACCCTGTATTTCATAAGCTCATTAAATTCCTTATTTTTTTGTCTTCAAAATGATACATAACGAATGAATATAACATTTTCAAAATTGCTCAAAATCACTAAAATATTGAATTTTGATAGTTGGTTATGGATTTTTCTTATAAAAAACGTTCCAATTGAAGAAATATTTCTTCAAATTTTTCAATGGAGAGGTCGAAACCAATATCAACACTTATTGATTAACAAAACACTAAACTTGGGTACCTGATAGCGATACAAGTAAATAGTAATAAAAAGTTTATAATGTAGAATAAGCACCTGATTAAATATTAACTAGAACAATTGAATTCCGGAATTATTCAGTAACTTATTCATTGACATGTTCAAATTGATATCCATTTTCCCTAACATACAATTGACAAACTTTCTCAATACTTCTTGATACAGTGAGTGGCCCATAACATACTTGAAGAACTTTGTGCAACAACAGAGGCAGTGTTCCAGGAATAACAAAGACATATTTCAATGATTAATATGTATTGAGAAAGTTTGTGATGGAAATTGGACATCAATTTGAACAATTCAATGAATAAATCACTGAATAATTTCGAAATTCAATTGTTTTAGTAAATATTCAATCAGGTGCTTATTCTACATTATAAACTTTTTATCACTATATATTTGTGGATATCAGGTATCTAAGTTTTGTGTATTGCAAGTTAATTAGTGTTGAAATTGTTATTTCCTCCTTCATGGAACAATCAAAGGAAATATTCCTTCAATTGTAAATTTCTTTATATAAAAATCCCTCGAAAAACCCATAGCCCACTATTGAAATTCAATGTTTTAGTGATTTTTGAACATTTTTGAAAATGTTATATTCATACATCATATATCATTTCGAAGGAAAAAAAATAAGGAATTTAATGAGCCTGTAAAACACAGGGTGTTCAATTTGAAAAATCATAAGTTTGAGTCGTATCTTCAAAACCACACCCCGAAAAAAAAATGTTGTGCGCCACTGGATTCTGCATAAAATTCTCTATGGGTTGAGATTTTGATTTGACATTTTCCCTGATAAACTTCGTAGATATAGAGGGGGTCCAAAAAGTATAAATATTCAAAATCGCCCTGTATCTCATAAACGGAAACTGTCCTGCAAAGTCTGATCAGGCCATCTTCAGTTTCACGAAAAAGTAGCACAGGACCGCGAAAACCGCAAGGTTCTATCTCCAAAGATAACTGAGATATCATGCAAAAGCATCGATAACTGGACACACTGTACATGTAGAGTATAACACAAACAAAAAGCAAACACACATGAGAA